AAGCGCCCGCACCAGCCCGGCACCACCTGAAGCCGCCCCCGTCCGCCCTCCTGCCACTCCTGAAGATGCCACCTTCACTGCCCGCAGGAGCCTGTTGACGAACAATGCCGCCTGCCAATAAACGTTGAGGAAATGCTCACTCTGTGTCCTTGGCTCTGGGGTCGCGACGGACGGGGCGGGCACTGGCGCCGGTGTGGGTGTGGGTGCAGGGTGGTGTGTGTCCGGGGAAGGCCAGGGGCTGGGAATCCCCGACGGCCCCAGCCCTGGGCTCGTGTCCTGGGATCTCGGCATGCGTGGCTTGACGCGGGGCTGAAAGTGGCCCAAAGTGGTCCCTCGCCTCCGGCTCATCCCGCCGCCCCCCTGCCCCCCCGCCAGCCCAAGCCTGTCCCGTCACACTGGTTGATGTGTCCCCCACCGGGCTGTGGAAGATTCCCCCCACTCAGTCCTAAGTTTCTCAACGTTTGTGAAGGAGCCCCCCTGCGCCCTCTGTCCAGAGGAAGGAGCAGTACCTCTCCTTGACACAGGGTGACTTGGCTGCCCCCTGGGCATCCCCACCCAGGGGCTGAGCTGTTGGGGGCACGCCGAGCCCTTCTCTGTGTCCGGGTCACCAAGCTCACAGTAGGCCAGGGACCCTGCTCAGCGCCACCTGGGCCTTCAAACACGCCAGCCAGCCTCCCACTTCTTGCCCCTCTGGGTCTCCTTGTCCAGCGGATCCTTGAGCAGAAGCAGAACCATGTGGGGGGACCCCAAGGACCCCAGGGAAGGGCCCTCTCTGGCCAGGCAGGGGCTGAGGGAGTGGGGCCTGTGGGTCCCTCGAAGTGGTTGGGCAGTGGGTCGGGAGCAGGTTCTCGCCTCGCGCGTCTCAGTTGGGGCCCCAGCCCAGGACGGGGTCCCCCAGGGACGGGAGGAGGATGCTTCCTGTTTCCCACAAAGGCGTGTTCCCTCAAAGCTGGCATCTCTGCCTCCCTTTTCCGCCCTACACAAACCTCGGGGCCCTCCACTCAGGTCCCCAAAAGCCCCCACAGACACATTTGGAGCTTGGGGACACCTGGTGTGCCTGGGAGTTGCCCCGGCTCTGCGTCTGGGGGGCTGCTCTCCAGAACCCCCACTGTCATGTCACAATCACTCTGGGGCCGGGGGGGGGGGGGAGCCAGGGGCTGCTGGACTCCCTCCTACCCCCGCCCCCGCCCCCTCCATCCAACCCGCCCTGACTGATTTCTAATCCTGGCTGAGGGTTCCCAGAGAACAGAAGGGCAGTCTTTGGTGGGGACCTGAACACCCCCAACCCATACGTTTTTTTTGGGGGGGTCACCACCCAGTGATGCTCAGGGGTCACTGGCCCCAGATCACTCCTGGTGGTGCTCCGGGGACCCTACGGGATGCCAGGGATCGAACATGGGTTGACTGCACACAAGGCAAGAGCCCTCCTCGCTGTTCTGGCCCCCAAGACACTTATCAGGGTGGCCTTCAAGTGGCCGGCTTCTCTTCTGCACCTGTTTCCCCTGGAGGAAAAGGCACTTCCAAGTCTGTTGACTTTTGACACTGGGCACGATGTGGACAGATAAGTGGGATGAAGCCCCCAGGCCAAGACTGTGCCAAAGGGAGTGAGGATACACTTGGCCCCCAAGATGGTGATGGAGATGCCCAGACTGATTTTTCTGTCTTGAGCCTATGCTCAGCAGCGCACGCAGGGGTCTTTGCTCTTGGCTCAGTGCCCAAGGGGTCAGTGCCGCGGGTGGGGGCCAGGGCTGAGCCCCCTGGGTGCCGAGTCTCACTGGGCCCTTGCGAGCCCACTCTCAGGTCCCCTGGAAGTGAACCAAGACGGGCTTTTTTGTTGTGTCTGTGTCACAGGCAGTGATGTTCAGGATGTCCTCCTGGCTCTGTGCTCAGGAATCACTCCTGGCAGTCTTGAGGGACCCTGTGGGGAGCCAGGGATCGAACTTGGCTCAGCAATTTGTGAGGCAAGTGCCCTCCCCACTGTCCCATCGCTCTGGCTTGACAAAGTCTTTCTGTTGATTGGTTTTGGAACGACACCCAACTGTGCTTAGGGCCGACTCCTGGCTCTGCACGCAGGGATCACTCCTGGCAGGGCTTGAGGGATGCCGGGGATGGAACCCAGCTTGGAGCACCCTCCCTGCTGTGCTATCCACCCAGCCCAAGGCAGTTTACTTTTCAACAGTTTTGAGGTTTGGTTTCGTTTGGGGGCCACACCTGAAGATGCTCAGGGGTTCGTTCCTCTTGGCTCTGCATTCAGGAATCACTCCTGGCGGTGCTCGGGGGGACCATCTGGGGTGCTGGGGATCAATCTCTTGCTTCTATCCCCCGTTTTTTTTTCTTTTTTGGGTCACACCCAGCAATTACTCCCAGCAGTGCTCGGGGGGGCCCTATGGGATGCTGGGAATCGAACCCGGGTCGGCCACGTGCAAGGCAAATGCCCTACCTGCTGTGCTATCGCTCCAGCCCCTCAGTCCCTGTTTTTATTGAACAAACTTGACTTAGACGTTGGGGAGAGAAAGAGGGAAGTCTGTGTTCCAGAGGGAGTCTGGAGACTGGGATCCCAAGAAGAGCATGTGAGGGGCCGGGGTGATGCTTAAACAGGCCGAGGGGGGCACTGAGGGGGCCTGGTCCTTCCCTGGGGCCTGGCCGGTCAGGGTGGGGACAATGGGGGGGTGGGGCCGCCGGGTCATAGTGGGGGACCCCCTTTATATACAGGCCCCCAAAGAGGGCCCGCAGACCAGACCCACGTTACCAGCATTGGCCGGCCTCACCAGCAACACGGCCAGTGGCAGCCCCCCAGGCGGTGCGCGGCCTTCGGAGAAGCATGATGTCACTCTGTGTCAGGACTCCGAGCCAGTGCTCTCTGCAGGGCCACTGGCTCCAGGACACACAGGGCCAGGAGCAGGGCCAGAGCCAGAGCCAGAGCCAGGGCCAGGGCCAGGGCCAGAGCCCCGACAACATCCATGAGGACAGGAGGCGGCCCCGTGCCCGGCCCCGTGCCCGGCCCCGTGCCCAGCGCAGTGCCCGCAAGAAGCCCTACGGGGCGCGTGCAGCCGGCCCCCGGCGCCAGCGACGCACCTGCAGACGCCGGAGACGTGGCCAGGGCTCGGCCCGCGGTGGCTCGAGCCAGTTGCGCAGGAGGAGGGCGAGAGGCTCCTGAGGCTGGAGCCCCTGGCCCCTGAGACCGCGCCCCGCCCCCAGGACCCCAAAGATGCCCCCCGGAACCAGCACGCTGAGCACAGAATGTCCGAATCCCTGCTGGGTCCCTGCCCCCCGACCCCACGAGACCAGAGCAAACCCCCCCATGCCCGACGGACGAGCCCACGAGATGGAGCGAGAAGAGCGAACAGTGTCACCATCATCCAATAAAAACGCAAGCGGCACATCTGCGTCTGTGTGTCCTTTATGCCGACGCCACACACCGGGGGTGAGAATGAATGGGGCCGAGGGGTCACCTCCCACCCAAGTCTGTGCTGGTCTCTCATCTTCTCGCTCGCTTGCCATGCTTTCTCCAAGGGTGGCCCCAAGCCTGGCGCTCAGGTGTCAGGAAAGTGGGAAGGGGCCCCAAGGTGGGACGGGCCCCAGGGTGGGAAGCAAGCGCCCTTCACTCCAGCGCAGGGGGCTGTGGTAGAGAGGATGTGGTGCCTCCCAGGGGCTGGGTCCCCACTCGCCTTGGAAGGGGGCCACTTCCAGGAGTTCCCCGGGCCTCCGCTCCCATGTCCCAGCACGGGGCTCAGTCCCATCGAGGGCCTGGAGATCAGAAAGTCCAGTGGTCCCCCCCTTGGCCTGAGGATCTTGGGGTCAGAAGCGAGCAGGATCTGGTTTATGTGCTGCTGGGTTCAGGAGCATCCTGCGGCCCCTCCCCTCCCCTGCCACGGAGGGTGCAGGGGTGTGGGGGAGCGAAGGCCCTGCCCACCCTCGTCTGAAAGGCGGGCCTGGGAGCAGGAGACGCATACAGGGGTGAAGGAACACACCTTGCATCCCGTGGTCCTGCTGGCTTGAATTCCAGCCCCCCTGGCCCGCCCGGCGCTGCAGGGTCCAATCCGGGGTGGGAGTGGGGGAGATCCTCACCCGCATCCCCACGCCCCTGCATGGACCCCCTGGTAGGGTTGGTTGGGAGTTGAGAGAGCAGCCTTGGGCATTCTGGGTATGGTGTGGGGGGTGCCCGTTGACTCCTCGTGGGTGGATCAAGGGTAATTCGGAAGGATTGGAAGTTTGGGCTTGGGTTGGGCCTTGGTTCCGGACCTTCCCTGGTGGCGGCTGCCGTGGGCAGAGCCCCCATGCCCTCTGCAGCCCCTGAGTGGCCACAGGTGGGGGTGTTCCCTGTCCCAAGGGGGGAGTCCCTCTGATTTTTTATTTTTTTGGCTTTTTGGGTCACTCCCGGCTCTGCACTCAGGAATCACTCCTGGTGGTGCTCGGGGGACGATACGGGATGCTGGGAATCGAACCTGGGTCGGCCGCGTGCAAGGCAAACACCCTCCCCGTCCCCCAGCTCTCCCTCTGCTGATCCTTCACACACTCAGTCTCACTGTGGGGAGGCATCCGTGGCTGGCCTGCTTCCAAAAAACTCTGCTTTCTGTTTTATTTTTGTTTGGAGGCTGACCCTGGAGATGTTCAGGGATGACTCCTAGCTCTGCACCTCAGAAATCACTCCTGGCAGTGCTCAGGGGACCTTATGGGGTGCCGGGGAGGGAACCCAGGTCAGAACCCGTGAAAGGCAAAGTGTCCTACCAGCTGGACTTTCTCTCTGGCCCGGCTTCCAGAAAATTCTATCTCCGACCCTCACCGGGGCTAACAGAGGAACCGGCCAGTGCCCACACTGAGGCTGGGGGTGGGGGTTGGGCTCAGGGCGTGGGTGAGGTTCAAGCCCGTTGCCGCAGCCCGAGTGAGGTATCCAAGGGTGGGGTGTCCTTTTGTGACCTCAGAGCCCTGCCCCGCCCGCAGCCCCCCTGCGACGGCGGCTCCCCCTGGGGTCCTGAGAGGCAGCCAAGGGGAAAACGGAGATGGGGTCGCGCTGTGCCAAGCTCAGCACGGGACACGGTGGCCGGGGCCACGAGTCGTCCATGAAGAAGCTGGTGGCCTGCGTGAGCCAGGATAACTTCTCCTTGTCGTCGGAGGAAGAGGAGGAGGACGAGGAGGTGGAGGAGGACGAGGAAGAGGAGGAGGACGAGGAGGTCCCGGTGCAGGGCAAGCTGCTGCTAATGGAGCCTGAGCAGCAGGAGGAGACATCGGAGGAGGACACGGTGACCAGCACGCAGAGCCCCGAGCCGCAGCCCAAACGCCCCTGACCCGCCCCGGACGCGCCCAGCGCCGCTGCAGGGAGGACGTCGAGAGAGTCAATAAAAAGTCTCTGAGCACTTCTCCTCTCTCTGGTCCCCTTCTGCGCCTCGTGGGCGCGTCGGGAAACGTCTGCGTGCACGCGTGAGAGCCAGCACGTGTGTGAGCCTGCCTGCACGTGTGCTCGGCACCCCTGTGGTCCTGCCCCTCGCCCCACGAGGTCCCCTGGCGGCCACTCAGCCGCCCTGGTCCTGGCTCCTCCGTGAGAGCCGACCTCCGCGGTCACCATCGAAGAGGAGGGGGGGAAATGAGGAAAAATGAGACCCCGAGGGAATTCCTAACTTTTGAGCAGCTTTTTAAGAATATTGGCCGGCTCAGCGACAGGGCTCAGGAACGGGATGAGCGGACCCTGAAGCGTTTGAAAGAGACTCAGGTGAGGTTCTCAGATGCTGGCCAGGATGGGTTTTGTCTTAGAATCTAACTTTCTGTTTTTCTGTTGTTTTTTTTTTTCTTTTTGGGTCACACCTGGCGATGCACAGAGGTTACTCCTGGTGGTGCTCAGGGGACCATTTGGGATACTGGGGTGTGCTATCACTCTAGCCCCTAGAACTTCACTTTGGTCCCAATGAATATTTCACAAATGAAGGATTGAGAGAGACGCAGTGGATGAGCTCAGAACCCGATGATCCGGCCCTTTTCCTTGGGCTGGCTGGCTGGTGGGCTCTCCCAGGAAGACCTCCATGTCTCACTCCTACCAAGGGACAAGTGGTTTCTCATTGCTGGGCCACACCGGGCAGTGCTCAGGAATTACCCCTGGCTCGGTGATCGCTCCTGGTGGTGCTTGGGGGACCCTCTGGGGATGCCGGGGACTGCACGGTAGATGACCGTGTGCGAGGCGAGCACCCTCCCCCCTGCCCATCTCCCGGGCCACCGATGAGGGCTGGTCTTCCGGAAGCAGCTCCCGACCGATCAGCCCAAGGGGCAGGGGACTCACCACTGTCCCTAAGGGACGGGGCAGGCGGGCTGGAGTCCTGGGCAGCAGTAGCGCCCCTCAGCCGCCCTCTGCCCCCGCCGGCTCTCAACTCCGCTTGTGCCAAGGAGCCTCTGGCCAGAGGCCAGCCCGCCGTGAGGGCGTCCTGTTCCTTTACCCCAGAGGACAGAGGTGACCTGCCTCACCCCAGCAGCACCCCCTACAGATCTCAGCAGGGTACGGGTCAGGGCACCCGGCGCTTCCCGGGGTGCCTCCACTTTTGGGGGGTTACGTGCACGGGGCCGTGGGAGGCCCCTGGACTCCTTGAAGATCCGGGCCCCCCCGCCAACTCCGTGAATCCAGCCCCCAGGGCAGCCGGCTTTGCCCACCTGCCCCCCTATCCACAGGGTGTCAGGACCTGCCCCCCAGGAGAACAAACGCCATTGCCACACGGTCTCCTGCTGAGCCGGGACACGGGGAGTCCGGAGTCGCCCCTGCCAGCCCCTCCCCCTGACCTCCTGGCTCCCCGAGCAGCCGAGGGCCAGACGAGTTGCTCTCCGCTCTGGGCCTGTCCCCCTGTTCCACTGACCATCCTGCTGACTCCAAGGGGCGAGCAAATGTCCCCTGCTGGTACTGAGGAGCGGGGCTGGACGCAGTCTCCTCCCGCCTGCCCACGGTCCCAGCTCCCGGGGATCCAGGCTACGACACGGCACCAGTGCTCTGAGGGCCGTGGGGGCCCCCGATCGGGACCTTCAGCCCACCTGGCGGATCCAGAGTGCTCCCCACAGAGGGGGGATGCAGATGGTCTTGGGGTAAAGATCCCCAGGCGGTGAAGGGCAGGGGCTTGGTGATGAGGGGGTGGGGCGCATGCAGGCCTCAGGAGCTCCACTCAGAGCCAGGAAGGGGAGATGAGCCCCCAGAAGCAGACCATGACGTATACCGGGTCCAGAGGGGTTTCGGGCCTGCCGGGGTTAGGGTGGGCGCGAAGGAGGGAGGGCCCTGAGTGGGCAGAAGGCTGAGACGTGCTGACCCTTAGGGCGACTACGGGCAGATGCGCCAACGGCTCCCTTCCCCGGGGCCAAAGCCCCGAGTGATTCCAACTGAAAGGAGGGGCTTCCGGAGAGGTGGTCGGGAGGCAGAGCCTGCAGAGGGGCAGTTTCAGGGGCCCCCTGCGGCCACATCCAGCCCCCAGAAACCCACTGCTGGAGGAAGTCCCCGGGCAGAGGAGAGCACTGGGTCCCGGGAGGACTCAACTTTCCTCACCACGTGTCTCGGCCGAGGAGGGGTGGGGACCCTCGCTACATCTCTTCCCACTGTGAAATCCAGCTGGGGAGGGACTGGGCTGGACTCGTCCAACCCCAACCCGGGAGCTGGCCAGCCCCACTGGGCAGGCACCAAGCTCTGTGTCAGGGGCCCCTCCGCCCAGTGGGATGAAAGCGAGAGGGCCTGGGAGACAGCGAGTGAGTGGACGGTGCCTGGACGCTTGGGGAGGGGGCTGGGCGCAGTGGACTCCGCGGGAGTGAGCTTGAGAACACCGACCAGGGGCGATCTGCTCCTGGTCACCCCCCATCATTAACCAGGGCAGCGGTGGCCCCCGGGGTCCTGCAGCTGCCCGCCTGCTGGCCCGCTTGTGACACTGGCCTGTGTGAGGGGCCGGCCGGCATCACAATGCGCCGAGCTATATAAGCTGGCGCCCGCCGGGCCCCCCCTGAAGCTGGGCGTGCTGAAAGGGGAGGAGGCGGCGGCGGGCTGTGACCCCCCCAAGCCTGGCCTCCCATGGACACCAAGACAGAGGCCCACTCCGCCACCCGCGCCCAGAGCCACGCCTGCCACTGGTGTAGTTGCAGTCGCTGTAGCCAGAGCCGCGGCCAGAGCCCCAGCCCGGCCGGCCACCGCAGCGGCGCCCCCGGCAGCCAGAGCGCCCGGCGCAAACGCACCATGCGGGCCCCACGCAGCTCGGCGGCAGCGCGGGCCGGCGCCCACAGCAGCCCCTGCCCCAGGTACAAGAGGCAGGAAGAAAGAAAGGCAAAGAGATGGAGAAGAAAGGCGGCCGAACGGAGCCGGTGTGCGCACCAGGCCAGGAGGCAGGGCAAAGGTACGGGGGCCAGGAGGCAGGGCAGGGCGGCCGGTGGGGACGAGCCTACGAGCAGCCAGACGGGAAGAGGCGGGGAGGGTTGGAGGGTTGGCCGGGCCCTCGAAGGGAGTAAGTGAACAAAGAACGAACAAGCCACGGGGGGCTGGTGGGCTGCGCAGGGTCAGAGGGCGTCAGGAGGCTCTGTCCGGGCCCCTCACGGGTGCCCTTCGCACGTTCTCGCCCCTAGGATGGAAGTAACCGCCGAGCCGGCCCCCACGACCGTTCCTCACTCACTTCCATGCCAAAGAGAAACGGCGACATGCGTGTCAAACATTCTGCCGGGGACACATTTCTGCAGGGAATTCTACACAACATGGATTAAAGCTTGTACACGGACAGGCAGCCCTGGTTTCTTGTGTGCTGTGTGTGTGCGTGTGCGTGAGTGCGTGTGTACACGTGTCCTCATGTGTGTGCATCTGTATGTATGCGTGCCCCTGCGTGTACGGGCATGTACACTGCGTGCACACATGCATATGTACATGTGTGTGCCCGCGAGCTTGCACACGTGTGCTCGCATAAGTCTGTGGCCACTGTGATAGTGGAGGTCTGCGGCTTGGGGAGAACCAGCCGGGGCGGGCGGCAGGCCCATGGAATGCAGGCCTGGGCAGTGGGGTGATGCCCCTCCGCACGTGGACATACGGGGGCCAGTGGGCACGGCTCAGATGTCTGAGCCTCAGCCAGGGACGTGCCCAGGGGACTTGTGCCCGGCACGACGTGCCAGGTGGCCGGGTTGTGGGCAGGGCAATGTGGAGTGCCTGCACTAGGGGGCGGGGCGGCGAGAGGAATAACCCCCACAAGGCAAACACAACATGCGATGCGGCGGCTGGTGTCTACTCTGGCCCTGGCCAGGACGGGCTGGGCGGGAAGGATGCAGAAGAAGGGGCTGGCTCATGGCAAGGATCGTTCCATCCTGCAAAGGAGCACTGTGCAGGGGTATAAGGGCACCAGAGAGAGGCACCGGGGAGGTGCTTGCCTCGCAGGGGCCAAGTTCCCTCCAGTCTCCAGCGCTTCACCTGCCCACCTCAGCCATCTCACCCATCCACCCGCCTGCCTCCTGCACCCATCCAGCTGCCGGCACTCCCTGGAACTTCCCCCTCTGTCTGAAAAGCCCTCAAGTCCAACCTCACCACCTCCAGGAAGCACTCGGGGACTGTGTCTCCCTCCCCCAATAGAGCCCCACTCCCTTGGTCCCAGCTGGTCTCTGGGGTGTCGCTGGCTGCCTCCACTTCTCCCCACTCGTGACTCCTGTGCCCCAGGAAAATGCAACCCTGGGGCAGGGGGAAAGGGGGTAAGCTACCACGGGGCACGCCAGGGACTCAGCCTGGGCAATACCGAGTTCGGGCTCATGTTGGTTCCAGCCACAGTGTCTGGAAAACCTTTCCAAGTTGCTGGACGTTTCACATGTTCAGGGACCCCCTACCCGAAGCTGGGGCGTGAGCAGACAGCTGGCCAGGCTCTCAGTGGCTAGAGCAACTCCTGGCCCCGGTGCCCTGCAGTTGGGGGGGTGCAGGCAGGGAGCGCCTGGCCACTTCAGGACTGCACCCCAGGCCAGAGGCCGCTTTGCCTGGCCAGAAAGAGAAACTGAAACTGCAGCCACACACACACACACACACACACACACACACACACACACACAACCCACCCTGCAGTTTTTGGCACCATCCTGGGTGGCCTTTGGGCTCTGCCCAGAGGGCAGGGGGGCGGCAGTGGGCTGGGTCAGGGCTCTGGGTCCTCTTGAAGGGCTCTGTGCTCCACAAGCACCGCTGGGTTTTGGGGGGGTCTCATGGGGGCCAGAGAGGCCAAGGGGCCGGGGCTTGGGGTCTCACGGTGGGCCCAATCTGGCAGAGTGGACATCCCGGCTTCCAGGCACGTGCCGGGTGCTCAGATGGTTTCTTTTCCTGGGTTTCTGGATCTGGTTTTATTTTGCACCCTGGGCTGCAGAAAAACGAAACCAAGAGGCTTCTGGGCAGTGGAGGACGTGGCCGGCGAGGGCAGCTCACGTGGACACTCACCTCTTCTACAGCTAGGATGCTGGTGGGGTGGGGGCAGGGTGCGCCCTGCAGATGACCCCCAGCCCCCCTCCCCCCTGATGGGCACCTGCAGGGCTGTGAGGCCTTGGAGGACAGGGTACATACTCTTGGGGTCTGGGTTCGGCTCTGCCCCTTGTGAGCTTCAAGACTCCTCCCCAGGCAAGAGGCTCCCCCATCTGAGCCTCAGTTTCCCTTTCTGCGAAATGGTTGCTCAGCTGACACCCACCCAGGCTTTGGCTGTGGGGCAGGGAACCCCACAATAAAGAAGGGATCCTTGCTCCTTCCTGGCAGGGGAGGGAGTCGGGGCGTGGTAACCAGAGGGGGCTGAGGTGCAGAGGGACCCCCAAGGACCCCACTGTGGTGGTCGGGGAGGAGGGGCCTGGGTCTCTCTGGGCCTGCCCCTGAGACAGGCTGGCAAGTCGAGAGGGCCCCAGCTTCTAGAAGGCACTGAGTGGGAGCTGCCGGCCACCGAACTCCCACCCAGGGGTGCACACACAGCAGACACCACAGGTACCAAACCCCTTTGCCTGCGGGGGGTGGGGTGAGGATAGACAGGAGCGCTCACAGACCGCTAGCGGGATGCAGCGGGGACACTTACAAACTACAGGCGGGACAGGACTGGCTGGTTGGGGGGCGCTGGCTCACGAGGAGGGGGGGCGCCCCCGGGCTCTGGCCCATCTCACCCCTGATCCACGGGAGCTTAGAACGGCCGCGCCGAGGGCCACAGAGGAACTCGGGGTGGGGGTGGGTGGGGGGAAGGGGACGCCGGAGGAAGGTGGCCCTGTCCCCCTCCCGAAGGACTGCCAGCCGCGGCCCAGGCTGCAGCCCGGCGGCGCGAGCCGCCTGCAGAGGCCGCTGCGGACCGGCGGCGCGGAAGCCCGCCGCTCCGGGCTGGCGTTTCGGGGTGACCCGCTCCCCCCAGCCCCGGCCCCCCGAGCGCTCTCCTCCTCCCTGGGCCCCGCAGCTTCCCCGCGCGGCAGGGGCCGTGAAGTCTCACGCGCGCGTCCCCCCAGCGCCGCTCGGGGGTGCCGGGTGCGCGGAGGGGCCGGGGCGATGCTCGCAGCAGGGAAGCGGGGGTGCGGGGAGAGGGGAGCCGGCCTGGGACGCCCGGTGCCGCGTCTGAGCGCGGGACCCCCAGCACGCCCGTATTGCGGTGGGAGGACCCAGAGCGCCTCCGCACGTGCCCCCCGCGCCCCGACCCCTGCGGGGAGCGCCCGCGTCCCCAGCTGTCGCGCAGCTGGACGCGCGCCGAGCCTGGCGGGGCGGGGCGGGGGTGGGTGGGTGTTGGGGACCGCGGGGCCGGCCCCGCCCGGCTTCCGAGGAACTGGGCCCACAGGCGGGCGCCCCTCCCGGCCGCCCGGCTTCCTCCGAAGCCCGCGGTCAGGTCGCTCGCCGCTTCCCAAGAAGTCGGGGCCGCGGACACGCGGGACGGCGGCCTGGGAGGGGCAGCGCGGGGGGCGGGGGGTGGAGGCGGGGGTGGCGGCGGGACCCCCAGGTGCGAGGAGCGGCGGCGGGCGGGTGGGCTTCTCGGGGGCGCGGGCGGCACGCGGGGGCGCGGGTGGCCCCCGGGGGCGCGCGGGGCTCGGAGCGCGGGCGGTCCCGGGGCGCGCGGGGCTCGGGGGCGGGTGGGGGGCGTGGGACCGGCCCAGCCGGCCCGTCGCGTCCGGCCCCCGCGAGAAAAGAAACCGAAAGTGGCGCTGCGGGGCGGGGCGGGGCGGGGCGGGGCGGGGCGCGGCGAGCGGGGCGGCGCGGCGGGCGGGGCGGCCCGAGCGCCCGCATAAAAGGGCCGGTGCCGGGGCGGGCGCGGGGGAGCGAGCTGCGGCCGTGGCTGCTGCACGGCTCTCGGCCCCGGAGCATGCGCCAGAGCCGCCCCGGAGCCCCCCGCCAGCCCCGCCCGCGGCGCCCCGCGTCCCGCCGCCAGGTGAGCCCCGGGCCGGAGCCGGGAGGGGGCCGGGGGTGGGGGCGCGCGGGACGGCGGGGGCGGCGCGGCGGGGTCGCGGCGGCCGGCCCCATCCCGGGCCGACCCCGGACCGCACACCCTCCGCACACGCACACGCGCGCGCACACGCACCCCGCACCCCGCACCCCACCCCGCCCCGCGAGCGCGCGGGTGCACGCGCGGGAGTCCCGCGGCGCCGCGTTTCTGCCGCTCTGCCCAAGTGGCCCGAGCGGGCGCCGATGCCCCGGCCCGGCCGGCAGGCGGCGGCCGTGGGCGGCGAGAGTCCGGGCAGGCGGCGCCCCTGGCACCCCTCCACGCCCCCCTGGTCCTCCCCGGGCCCCGGGGCCACGCGGGAGCGCCCGCGCCCGCGCCGAGCCCGCGCGCGCCCCGCTCACCCGCGCCTCTCCGTGTCCCCGCAGCGCAGCCCCGGACGCTATGGCCCACCCTCCCGGCCGGCCCCGCGTGTAGGATGGTAGCGCGCAACCAGGTGGCAGCCGACAATGCGGTCTCCTCCTCCACGGCACCCGAGCCCCGACGGCGGCCCGAGCCCTCCTGCGCCGGGGCCCCCGCGCGCCCGCGGCCCTGCCCGGCGGCGGCGGCGGCGGCGCCCGGCCCGGGCCCCGGCGACACGCATTTCCGCACGTTCCGCTCGCACGCCGAGTACCGGCGCATCACCCGGGCCAGCGCGCTGCTGGACGCCTGCGGCTTCTACTGGGGGCCCCTGAGCGTGCACGGCGCGCACGAGCGGCTGCGCGCCGAGCCCGTGGGCACCTTCCTGGTGCGCGACAGCCGCCAGCGCAACTGCTTCTTCGCGCTCAGCGTGAGGATGGCCTCGGGCCCCACGAGCATCCGCGTGCACTTCCAGGCCGGCCGCTTCCACCTGGACGGCAGCCGCGAGAGCTTCGACTGCCTCTTCGAGCTGCTGGAGCACTACGTGGCCGCCCCGCGCCGCATGCTGGGCGCCCCGCTGCGCCTGCGCCGCGTGCGGCCGCTGCAGGAGCTGTGCCGCCAGCGCATCGTGGCCGCCGTGGGCCGCCAGAACCTGGCGCGGGTGCCCCTCAACCCCGTGCTCCGCGACTACCTGAGCTCCTTCCCCTTCCAGATCTGAGCGCGCGCGCGCGGGCGCGGCAGCATTAGCGGGCGGCCGCCGGCGGGCCTGGTTACTCTGTTTCCCAGTGTTGTTACATTGTTATTCTTATTGTTATTATTGTTGCGGTCGCCGTCCCGGGACCGCGCGGGCGCCCGCCCCGCGGGGGGTGGAGGGGCGCGGGGCCCCGCGCGGCTCCCCGCTGGAGAAGACCCTCCCGACCTCCCCCCCACGGGGGGGGGAGGCGCCCCCCTTCTTGGTGCTCCCTCTGGGTCCCGCACCCCGGTTGTTGTAGCAGCTTGACTTAACTGTGTCTGGGGCCAGGACCCGAGCCCGTACCTCTCACCCCTTCATGTTTACATACACCCAGAATCTTTGCACAAAACAGGGGTTGGGGAGGGTCTCTGGCTTGATTTTTCTGCTGTGCAGAATCCTATTTTATATTTTTACACCGGTTTAGGTATAATAAACTTTGTTATGAAAGTTACTTACTTACTTTTGGTTTTCCTTTCCAAGGAAAAGAGGATACTGGTGCGCGGGCTTTGCGCAGGGGTTTGAGGAGGTCCGCGGTTCGGCATGGGGCCTGAGAGGGGTGAGGGGACACTCCTCACCCGCTCGCTGCCTGGTTAGGGGTCTGGGTGCTGGGGCATGGCGGGCCGAGCTGGCAGTGGGCTGGTCCGCGGACCACTCGACTCTCCACAGCCGACCCTGAGCCCGGCTCCTCCTGGGTCCCACAGGGGAGAAGCCCCCGGGGGCGTCTCTGGCTGAGCACCCCGCCTGTGATGTGAGAGGACCAACTGGCCCCAACTGGCCCCGGAGGAAACGTCTCTCATTCTGAGACCACAACCACTTCCAGGAGGCGGTGGGCGGGGGTGCGGCAAACGCAGTCAGACCTGGCATCCAGGGAGCCCGGGGCAGCGGGCACTGGGGCAGGGGCTAGACTTCGCGGGGGTCCCCCCACCCCGCCCCCGATCCGGCTCCTGCCCTTTCTTGGGGGGAGGAGAGAGGTGGGGTGGGGGGGAAATGCAGCTTTGAGAGCCTGCAGGCGGCTTGTGGTCTGTGGTGCTGGAGGGACGTGCTAGTGGCCTGGGGCAGGCCTGCTGCTGGGCCCCTGCTGGCCCCTAGGGGCAGGTAGGTGTGCCTGGGAGGATGGGTACTGTGGCCTCATGGGATTTGGGGTACAGCCGAATTTTGGTTGTCCCCTGTCCTGCAGAGAAGCAGAGCAGAGTGGCCCCCCGTGTTATGTTCCTGAAATTAACTTGATAGCGGGTGTGTGTGTGTGTGTGTGTGTGTTTGTGGGGTGTGTGTGTGGCAAGCTTGTTCCACCAAGAGACAGGGTTTTAGAGATGGTCTCGAGGTGCCTCTCTTTAGAACCCCGTCCCCAGGGTCCTTCCCTGGGCCTATCCTGTCCCAGGGAGCTGTCCAGAGGGCAGCCGACAGGCCCTCTGTGGGGACCCAGAGCACTGGTTAATCCCCAGGACCGGCCCAAGAGCCATGAACCTCTTCCCCATTGGACAGAAGGGAACACTGAGGCACTGAGGTCACATGGCTTGAGACAGACAGAGTTCCTTCCTTTCTCGTTCTTAGTTTTGGGTCACACCCAGCAGTGCTCAGGGCTGGCTCCTGGCTCTGTGCTCAGGGGTCACTCCTGGAGGTCTCCCGGGAGCACTGCTGGGGGTTGGCCCCTGCTCAGTTGCATCCAGGGGCCCTCCCTACCCACTGTGCCTCCCTACCCCCTGGAGCCAGACTTTTAAACTGCATCAAGGCTGTGCCACCAGGTCATGCTGCCTTCCTGCCGGTGGTCCCCACGGTGGGACTTGGGGCACTGTGCCAGGCCCCCAGTTATCGCAACCGGAACGCTCCATCTGCCCGCAGCTTTGCCATCAAGGTCTTGTTAGGCTCGAACCCACAGAGGGACAATTACTAGGTCACCAACAGTGGGAGCTTGGATTATTATTACTATTATTATATATTTGGTCTCTCTCCCCTTTAAACACAGGTCAAAAATCCCAAGTCCACGACACAAAACCCTTTTCCCTCCAAAGACCTCAAAGGAGGCATTTCTGGCGGTGTTCCCCATAGCCGGCCCCTCTTCGCGCACTTCTGGAGAAACCCAGACGTTGCTGGGGCACCCCAGACCCCAAGTGGTGCTGGGCCTTGGGCACAGGGTTGGGGGGGTGGTGCATGCCGTGTGGTGACTCCCCTGGTGAAGTGATTCTCAAACCTCAGGCTCATGATTCAGCAACACTGACGTCAATTTACAAGAATGAAAAGTGAGAGGGTGTGTGTGTGTGTGTGTTTGTGTGTGTGTGTGCGTGCGCGCGTGTGTAGGGGGGTGGGGCCTGCAGAATGGGGGAAAAGAGTCTTTTGTGGGGGCATGGGGAGGCTTTACATTCAGAGGTACTCAAGGCCATGCTGTGTTGGGGGTGAAATCCGAGGTCCGGGGCCAGAGCAGTAGCAGAGCAGGTAGGGTGTTTGCCTTGCATGCGGCCGACCCGGGTTCGATTCCCAGCATCCCATAGGGCCCCCCGGGCACCGCCAGGAGCAATTCCTGAGTGCAGAGCCAGGAGGAACCCCTGTGCATCGCCGGGTGTGACCCAAAAATTAAAAGAAAAGAAAAAAGAATTCCGAGGCGCTCGCCACCCATCTCCCTGGCCGGAGGATTTCTTTACAGGGACACGGGCATCGGGCATCGAGGCTCGTGGAGCTGGGGCGTCAAGGCCTGCTTGAGAAACGGGGCAGGGGCGGTTCAGAGAGGGGCAGTCACTTGGGGTCCCACAGCTGCAAAGTAGTCGCCAAGACGCGCCTGAGCACAGCTGAAAGAAAACGGGAGCCGCTGGGGATGTCACACAGACAGGAAACGAGAGTTTGTGTGTGTGAGTGGGGGTGTGTGTGTGGGGGGGCGGCTGCATCCCGCGGCCCTGCCTGGCGGGCTCCATCTCCCAACCGCAGCGGCAGGAAGTGGAGGTGCGGACGCCTCAGAGCACGGGGTGGCAGAGCAGCCACGTGGCCGGGCCCCTGGGTGCTGACAGCGGGGGGCTGCCCGCCAGGCCGGGCCCTGGCACCAAGCGGGCATCGTTCTAAGGTGGCGGGCTGCGGCGGACACCGCAGATCTTGCTCCCCTGGCGGTTCCCTGGCGAGGCTCAGAAAAGAAAGTGCAACCAGGGAGGAAACTGCCCGTGAGTGACGGGGTTGGGGGTGGCACAAGGGGTGTCTGGGGCGGGGCATGGGCTGGTCGGGGAGGCCTCGGAGTCCCCACCCTGGACAGACACCGGCTGGACTTCAAGCAGGGGCTAGGGTGGGTGGACGTGTGTGCAGGGATAGCGCGCCCCACTCGCCGCAGGGGAGGACCTGGGGGTGGCCAGGTGTGACCAGGCTCCAAGCTCTTCCCCGTGGGTCTGTTTCCGCCCCCTTCGTTCAGGGCAGAGCGGACCCCAACTCCGGAGCAGGATGCGCAGGACCTGCAGGGGCTGGACAGCGGCCAGGGAAAGGTGGCTGGACGCGCCCTGGGCCTCCCACCCTGCCCCCCCCAACAGGTCCCCACCCCCACCCCCGGGGCGCTCACTCAGCACCCTCTCCCGTGCCCTCTCCCGTGCGCGCTTTATTTCAGTGCGACTGTATTTCATTAGCTTCCCGGCCTGGCCCCAGCGCCCAGGGCATAGCCTTGCTCTCCTGCTCAGTGACAGCTGCTGGCCCCGGGGGAGTGTTCGTGGGCAGCAAATTCACGCAGAGGCCAAGAGCGCGCAAGGCGGGTGCCCGGGGCACCGTGGTTCCCTGGCCCAGCGATACACGCACCAGCCTGGTGGGAACTCGATTGTCCGTAGCTGGGGTGTTTGGCCAGAGGTGACCCCCCCCTTCTCTCTGCACGGTGCACGGACCCGGAGGGGATGCTGCCAAGATGAAACGCCAGTTCCACGGCCCACCGCCCACCAGCCCTTCCAGCGCAGCTCCACGCGCTCCCCACAGGCAGGACGTGGGAGGCTGCTCCTTAATGGGCTACCAAGTCCAGCCTCCATCTGAGCGGCGGCAACGTCAGCAGGAGAGCACAGTGACGTCAGCATCAGCACAGTGGCATCAGCATCAGCACAGTGGCGTCAGCATCAGCACAGTGACGTCAGCATCAGCACGAGAGCGCCGTGGCGACCTGCCACCCCGCTGGAGTCCACGTGAAGCTCCGGCCCCGCGGGGTCCCGATGCCACCGTGTGCGTGCTGCCCGCTGGCCATCAGCTGGCCGGACCCTCCAGCCCCGGGAGCGTGCCAGGGAGTTTCACGAGAGCGACCTCTCTTCCCCGTCCCCCCAAGTGCCCGGTGTCCGCACTCACACCTGCCTCCCACAGCCCCATTGTGAGATCCAGATGAAACAAAAGGGTCCTTGACACGAGGGGATATCCATGGGGGTCTCGTCTCGATGGCTTTGAAAAAGTGCCTTTTGGGGCTGGAGGGATACAGGCTGAGGACGGTGCTTGCCATGCTAGCGCCAACACCCCACAGGGTCCCTCGAGTCCCACCAGGATGATCCTTGAGCACAGAGCCAGGAGTAAGGTCAGAGCATTGCCAGGTGTGATCCTCCGCCTCCCCCCTCCCCCCCAAAAAAGCCTCTTCCTAAGCTCCAAGTGCCCACTCCTTACAAGGGGCATCCTGGGAACGAGACCCGAGAACGGCCGGAAGTGCTTTCCCGTCCCTGTCGGTCAAGCTGAAGCTCTTCCCCGTGGGTCTGTGTTTCCGGCACGTTCCCTGCTGGCCACTCTTCTCTTTCTGCGGTTGCCCTCTCTGAGGAGGGCAACCAAGGCTGGGGGTTCTCCAGGCAGTCAGGAGCCCCCGCAGCAGGTGGGGACGCCTAGACACCAATTGGCACGGGCCAGGCCAGGAAAATATGAGAGGGACGGTGACATTCAGGGGACCTGTGCAGAGAGGCACAGCCTCCCTCCCCCCGCGGGCACAGCCGGGAGCGGCAGGGGAAGAGGGTGAGGAGGGGGCAAGCCTTGGCACTCTGGGAGGCAGCAGAGGGGGCCCGGGATTCGGGTTCAAATCCTGATGGCGACAACTGCATGTCCATCGAAGGAGAGCCAGGCCCCTTGTGCCCTACCGTCGGCTCAGGCCCCAAGGCTTTCCCGCCAATCACCCCCAGAGGAATTCTCCTGATGGGTGTTCCTTCGAAGCCTGCAGCTGCCCAGACGCCTCTAACGATCATGAACAAAAAACTTCGCATTGGGGTTGGAGCGAGAGTGCAACGGGGAAGGCGTTTGCCTTGCACGAGGCTGACCCGGGTTCGATCCCCAGCATCCCATAGGGTCCCCTGAGCACCACCAGGAGTCATTCCTGAGTGCAGAGCCAGGAGGAACCCCTGTGCATCGCTGGGTGTCCGTCACTCATGGGTAGTTAAAAAAAAAAAAAGGCTCACATCACACATGCGGTTCTGTGTCCTGTTTGCTGTGCCTGGAGACCAGCTCACCCACGCCTGGAGACTGATGCTGAGCACCTCACCG